TTCATGGGGTTCGCGGAGCAGCAAGGTAATTTACTTCTATTTTTTATGTGTTCTATAGAACAGTGTTAGTTCTGTCTCTAGGTGAAAAAGTAAGTTTGTAAATGTCGAGGTGGAGGTAAACAAATCGATAGCCATTGTGTGACAAATTACTATTCAGGCATGTAAGGGTAACTCAGATATGAATCTGTAAATAACTTTAATTCTCTTGTCATATTTCATATTCATACAGTATGGGGTGTTTCAAAAAGACTTGCGTTTGATTTTTTGCTGAGCTCTCGTATTTTTTATCCGTATCTTTGGTATAATAAAGCAACGTTGTGATTGTACCGACAACGGCACATCAGACTACACATTTTTTTCGAAAATCGCCGCCAATGCAACGGAACAAGATACGTCAATGTGTAGCTTGATGTGCTGCCGTGTGTACGTCAAAAGTGGTTTGCTCGCATTACTGCGTTCCGGTTTTGAAGTATAAGGATTCACATGGGTCATGTTAACTTGCACTCTCTGACCGCCATAGTGGGCGGGGATCTTTTGCTGTCGACCATCGTGGGCGCAAAAGCGTAGTTTCGCACAAGGAGGCCTCGGAGCGGCTCTGAGAGGATGACCCGAGGGGGCTGACCCGCTAATATATATACCTTCTTCCCGCGCTGTAGTGAGTCTTGGGGACAGGGGTCGAGGGACCCTCTCTCCATGTTTGCGCTCACAAGTGTGAGGGTGCCCTTATGTCAACCCGGGGCGCTCTCTGAAGGCCGGGGTCCGCTCACGCAGACCATCCGCCGAGGCGTTCCTGTAGTATGCGCAAGCGGATCCAGGGGCACCTCCTTACGGCGGTGGGGGTTAACCGCTGAGTTTTAGTGTGTATACCATAAGGTGTATACCGAGCCCTGGTCACACATAACCGCTCGCAGCTCCCCCGAGCTGAGAGGTATGCGTAATGCATGTCCCAGTGATAAAAAAGGTGTCAGGATGACGGGCGTGGTAGCAGCGCCCGTCATCGTGAGACCTACAACGTGTCCTCAACTAAAGAAGAGCCCATAAATATACAAGACACGTGCAAAAATCCGTTGATCACACGTAAAGAGTTCAAATAAACCAAAGTAGTACCTGAAAAAAATCGTTAACCGTCGCTATTATATGTAATTATTCAGAGTCAAATCAAAATAGAAAAACTTTGTTTCCTAAACTACTATAATTTTAGTAGCAGTAGAGCTTATTGTGAAAGAGTTCATTGAGGGAAGTACTGCCACCTCACTATTTCTGCCGCCATGCAGTAATGTGAGCATTACTGCCTTCCGGTATTGAACGGTGCCACCAGTTTTACCAGCAACCTTAGCTGGTGAAATTATAGGCACATGGGACTTGTCTCAGGTTGACGGGCGCAGTAACAGAGCCCCCCAGATCTTTGCGTTTTAAAGATCTGAGTGGCGCTGCAAATGTATGGACAGGCATGTTGTCTTACCACCAGGCTTACGACTTGTTCGTCCCGGAACTTGGTAAAAATTACCTCAATCAGGAACTGAATGCGAGACTTACTTAATCCGAGCCCTTTATGCTGGTTACTAAGCCTGTATGACCTAGAACTTCGTAACGATGCCGCACGTTATACAGTTGTCTAAGTAATCTAGAAAGTTCAAGTCTTTTCATAAATAAGTTAACTTGCTATTCAAATTGTCAGAAAAGTGGAACGAAACGTTGTCTAAATTATACATTTGTTTGTATTCTAGACATTTGTCGATTTGCATAGAGCACTTAAAGTTCAAACTGTTCTATCCCACGGCTGTTATATCACGCCATATGCAGTGAGAAAGTCAAAGACCAATCACACGACGTCAGTATCACGTAATATGTATTTAGAATGAAATTCAAAATGGCCAATCACGACCCGTGGTTTGCAGCAACTGTAATGTGATAATCTAACCTGATTACGTAAACTGTATTGTGATATTGAAAGAAATTTTAACGTTTTGCCATCATGATCATCCACTCATTTATACGTCCCACTGCTGGGCATGGGTTTCCTTTCTAGGGATGCAGGTTGGGGACTTCACACGTTTTCCGAGGGTTGTGAACCTCTCTGACGTGTAGGTTTTAACACGATGTTTTCCTTTACATAAAAACTCAGAGTTGCGAATCTGGTTTCGAACCCACGATCTTTACTTGAGAGACGGTAGGTCAAACCATTAAGCTAACACGGCCTCGTTTTATAATACAAAAAGAAACATTTAATTCAACACTTCATTCCAAATCCACCTGTGTAAAATATCAATGTTCAGACTAACTGATAATCGTGTCTACGGGTATAGTTGGTAAATAATGAGTCACCATACCGTCGGCCTATACCCATGGCATGCAGTCTTCGACTGTACGCTGTCATAACATAACAGCTCGATAAACACAACACGCGCTCCATAAAACCGTGGCTAAAAAACCACCTTCCAAACACAAGTTATAAAAAAAACCAAATGCCCTATTATGAAAATACTTTCTCGCAATCGATACGCAAAGTTATTTTGAAATTGTTCAGAAGTTAGTGAAGAATTGTAATGCGACACCGCGGATGTCTGGAATCACAATATTTTACTTGGTCGGATTGGTTTAACAGTACAGGTTAGTGATAATAAAGGTAGTACAAGAATTCAATCAATTATTTATTGCCAATTACAGATATTTATAGCATACTTAATGGCTCTTTTCTTTGGAAAGAAACAACTGTATATTCTGCGGTTGAATTTGAGATAAAAAACCATTATACCAGTACAAAAAAAAAATATTGCGCCAATGTGAAACGGTGTAAAATACAAGTTTTTAAATTATTTTGTTCAAATAGTGTACACGTGTAATATATTTTGGCAGTGTTACGGGGGTATACAATCTTTGGTTACCTTGTTGATATGGATTTGCATACGTTGTACTACATAGGTGACGCAACAGAGCTTTTCATTGTTACTAAAAAATTACAAAAAGAAAATGAAATTAATAACTTTTTCATTATTAAATTGTGTATTGATTACAATACATTTTAAAAAGTCGACCAGTTGTTAATCGACATGAATAGTTATAATGACACAAATTGACAGAAAATCGTTAAGTTATTTAACACCACAAGTACTCTTTTGACAATAATGATTAGGTACTCGTAATATCAAGAGTAGAATCAATTACTGAATGAATATTTTAAAAATAGCTCAGAATACAATTGATTGTCCTGAACTACTGTACAAACATAACTTTTTGACTCCCAGGCGTAATTTTCGGGTTGACAAAATATTTGATATACCTGTGGTTTCAACCAATTACAGAAAGAATTCGTTTCTGCTGCGAGCTTGCAACAATATCAATAACCTGGCCAATAGAGTAGATGTTGATGTCTTCAACACTGGAGTTGCCACAGCGAGATGGCTTAGCGATTTTTTGATGAATTCTTAGGAAAGTAATATATATACATACATACATACACACACAAAATCATAGATGATTTTCTTGAATTTGTGATTGCAAAATTCTTATAATATCTAAAAGTGTAAACTGAATTCACGTACTATTAACTTTTTATTTTACTTATATTTGTATATAGTTATAGTTTACCATGAATAAATAAAATAAAATAAAATACAATAAAACGACTCAATGTGGCGGGCGCAGTGGCAGTGCCCCTCAGATCTTTACGATTTCAGGGTCTGAGTGGTACCGCAGCTGTCATGGACAGGCGTATCGCTTACCACCAGGCGCACGAACTCTTCGTCCTGTCGCGTGGTATCGTAAACAAACAACCTTACACTTGTCCCAGAAAATGTTTCATGTCTTCTTTTAAATTAAAAAAGTAAATAATAATAACGCACACACTAAACATAGCTCCGCACTAGGGAAACCCTGTGTCGCGGGTGCCATGGACACACACATAGAAAACCACAAATTATATCCAAACTCACGAGAGAAATAAATGTAGGCCATACACATATTTCTCCCGGCCTGGGAATCGAACCCAGGACCTCTGCATGGCAGTCCGGCATGGTAACCGTTCGGACACGGAGGCAGTTCACATATAACAAATTAATCAAAATATGAGTTAAAAAAGTAAATTAATTCATACTTACATACTTACAAACGTTAAACTATGACGGTACTGAACAAATAGTTGAAATACCATAAAAAAAAACACACACAAACACACAATCGTGTCTTCTCGGAATAGGCTCTTAGTACCTACTTCAGAACATAAGAACATACCTACTTATAACTCTTTGTAAAAGGAGAAATAAACAATTAAAATTATTGTACACATACATAAAATTACATAGATACATTTTTTGCATGTTCTTAAAAGCTGATCGAAATTTTAAAGTAATAATAAATATTATAACATATACATATTTGTGGGCTGTAATAAGGTTTAGTATCTAGTACGGCCTCCAGTCTCTCACAAATTGCTCTTTTATTTCTCATTGACTCTATTTGATGCAAGATTTGTAATTGTGTTTGAAAAAGAAATTATTATTATTACATAAGTAACGGCGTCATATACTATAAGAAGTGTGACGCGATATTGAACATGTACTTTTGTGTTGCAGGTGCCATACAACATGAAACTTCTGAGTTGTAAATCTTCGGTCTTCATGAAGAATTCATAACAAAATACCCTGATGTACCGATATGGCGTAACAACTTCAATTTTAACTATTATGAATATAAATGCCGAATGAATCTGCCAATCAAAGGATATTATCTTACTTTTCATAAAAAATTCACCAAAAATTTATGATTTGACGGGTCCTCGATCTGGGATATTTCATGAAGCGAATGAATTTTAAGAAAGACTCGTATATTATAAAGCTATCAATGAAAAGATGTACTGCGACTTATTACCAATTCCACTGAAAGTATCGTACTCTCGATACCACTTTACTTAGATATTTAATTAAATTAATAATTATAAGAAAGACATAAAAATGTACACATCGAAGAATATAATGTGACTTATTTATTACACTAATATCCCTGAAAATACCTAATTGAACCAGTTCATGAAATGAATGAATTATAAGAAAGACTTATTACATATTATAAGGAATATAATGCGACGTTTAAGCTAACTTTGCTGAAAATAATCAAAATATCTAATTTGATAGCCACATTTCTTGAATATTTCACGAAACGAATAAATGTTAAAATAAGTAGCACAGAAATAGAAGCCAGAAAAATTAGAAAGAAACTGTTGTAAAGGACACTCAATTTTGTGTATACTGTATATATCAACATAGATAAGCATGCAATAAGGTTACGGAACTTAAAACCGTACCGAACACTTATAAATTGCCTGCTACACAGATAGTGGTCAACCTATAACAGTTCTAATTTAATGACACTTCGTCGCAGTGAAATGCCACTTTGAAATACATAATTTATAAATGAAATATATTAATGAAAACAATTCCATTGAAAGAATTTCGTGACCCTGAAGATAATGGACTAAGGGGCTAGGCATTCACTAAAGTAATTGACAATTATAATTTTCTTTGGCTCAGTAAGCAGCCAACTCTATGCCCCTATTGCTTTTAACAAATCGTGGTGCAGCTGGTAGAACACAGTGGGCACGAGAGCAATGCCAAAATCAACAACCTTAATGCAATCATGAATTCTAAACCCTTTAAGTTTATTAGTGCCTTGGAACGAAGCTTGAAAATTTTAGTGATTTTATTTTGCTTTAGTTCGGTTTTCATTGCTTGGGTGCATTTTTCTGGACATAATTATAATAATGAGACGACAAAAGCATACCAAGTAATAGCCAAAGGATCGAAAAATCTTAAGTATATACTTTTTTGGACTAGAGCAGACTTTGCTCCGTTTTACTATTATGGTAAAGGGCAGACAGCTTTCATTAAGAACAATTGTTCACATGTTAACTGCTTTGTAACCAGCAATAGGAAATTATTCAATTCTAAAATGACCAAATTTGATGCTATACTCTTCAATGGACGAAATTTGGATTCTTTTGATTTGCCAAAAGTAAGATCTCCAAATCAGATGTACATCTACATGATGACGGAATCCGCTGACAATTACCCTGTATGTGATCCAGTTTTCAACAATTTCTTTAACTGGACTGCGACCTATAGGCTGGATTCGGATATACCCATGACGTACATGGTCATTAGAAATATGAGTGGCGAAATCGTAGGACCAAAAATGAAAATGGAATGGGTATCGCTTGACTCACAAAATGTATCATTAAACGAAAAGTTTTACACGAGAATGCAGATGAAAAGAAAGACTGTAGCTTGGTTTGCATCCAAATGTTCTACTCTAGGTGGTAGAGAGACAGCAGTCAATCGGCTACAGAAAGCTTTATCGTCGTATGGATTGACGATTGATATTTACGGCGCTTGTGGTGATCTATATTGTCGAAAAAATGATGTTTCTTGTGATGAGATTCTAAGAAGAGATTATTTATTTTATTTGGCTTTCGAAAACTCTTTAGCAGTGGATTATGTTACGGAAAAGGTGGTAAGAGCCTTGCAGAATGATGTGGTCCCTATTGTTTATGGAAAAGCTGATTATTCCAGGTGAGTATACGAATTGCATAAGCATTAAGAACAATCTGTGTTGGCCTAGCCGAAAGAACGATTTTATCTATGTATGAGGATATACGCGAATGCGTCGAATATTACGTGTAGTTGAAGCTATATATAAAAATATCGTAAACAAACTTGCATGTCAAAGGAGGTTCAACACCCAAACTTCTACGATGATATCCGAAGTTACAAGTAAAAAATATAGCTACTTACTCTTATTGGAAATGAAACTATTGTTTTTGGACCGTGATATATGTTTTAAAAAACAAACGTCGCGTCAAGTCACGGTTGACTCAGGTGATGAAATCATCAACCAGACGCGTGTGTTCCTCAACTTGACATTGGCGAAATCATCGATTACTTCGATGGGACCATAACATATAAAAGAAGAAGAACTAGTTATGTCTAATGTTAATGCAAAGCATCCTGTTCTGAATTATAGTTACTAAGCAGTATACTTGCTTGAAAAAACAAATATACGCGATTCTATATCCGAAACAAAAAAATGGTTTCACTTCCAATGTTGTTTCAGAAGTTATTAATTTATATATCAAATTTTACGGTACTGTAGTCTAGG